TGCAGCCTTTTCTGTGCCAGACTGTTTGGGCTGGGCGAAAGTTGCAGCGGGCAGGATATGAGGCGTCCGCGGTTTGCGCGCGCGGCAGCCCGACCGATTGCTTATCGCACCGCCTGCGCAACAGCCCCCTTTCGGCCCCGCTGAGAGCGGAGTGGCTGGGGCAGACAGACGTTGAGCTCATCAACGACGGGCACGGAAATTTCCCGCTCGTTTGCGGTTTCATAGAACTGCTTCTCTGTGAACCCACCGCGTGGGTCGGGCACCACGCCTTACCGCTTTTTCCGCGCGGATCCCTCCCTAACAGTGCTGGAGGCATTTGCCTGGGAAGTTTTTATACATGGCTCTTGCCTCAAAGAGGGCCCCGCGGAATTCCACATCGCGGGCTGGGCTGTCATCAAACTGACAGCCGGGGGCGATTTGTTTGCGGCCCTCTGGGGGTCCGTGGGCCCGCACTACCCGCGGACTTCCCCGGCCGCAGAGCACGTGGCTGTCCCTGCTTTGTCGCACACAGCCCGTAGGCGCAGGCCGTTCATTCGGACATCCTGGGCCTCGTCCGCTTGTCGTCCGCCCCGTGGAGCCAGGTCACTTCGAGGCAGCACGTGCATGCAGGCATCCGCCCACAGATCCGCGCTTCGTCGACGCGGGGCCCGGATTTTCAAATCCACAAGGTCCAGGCCCACGCGGACTTGGAGGCCCTTGCCCCGCAGCCCCGTGAATGGCACCTCGCGGCGGGCAACGACTTTGCGGACAAATACGCGAAACTCGGCGCCGCGCTGCTCTCGCAGCCTTCGGAGGCGGAACGGCGGGCTTATGCAGATAGCGCGGCAGTCTTGAAAAGGTACCTCGGCTACGTTGCCAGAACCCTGCTCCTGCACCCGCGCCTGGCCCCTTCGAAGAAGGCCCGTTCCAACTTTGGTAAGTCATTGCGCGAGCTCGCGTTTCACCCGCCTCCTCCGTCACCTCCGCCTCCGCCAGCCCAGGCGCAGGCTGAGTTGCGGCCCCAAGCGATGCGAGCTCCGACTGGGCAGGCGACAGACGCCGAAGGGCAGCAACACGAGTGGCGGTAGCGGCGTCAGGGTTCTGGACCTGCCTCCACTGCCAGCGGCGCAGCACCAGAAGCCGGGTGGAGCCCGCACCACGCTTCGGCGGCGCCTTTCGACCGACCTTCCCGCCGCCGCTCGAAGGATGCGCGGAAGCCTCGCCCATCCTTCGCTCCTTGTTCTATGACCAGCGTGGACACAACCTTTTCGTGACTGAGCACCCCACTGGGATCTTAATCATGTGTAAATCGCGTGGCAGCTATTCGGAAGGAGCGCGCGCGGTTAACTTAGAGGACAGATGCCGCCCTACGCGGGTTCCCAGTCGAGCGGGAACCAATTGGAATAGGGCTTGCAAGGGGCAGCCCCCCCATCACCAGCGCGGGAACGGGACAATTCTGGGCGATGTATTGCCCTTTAGCACGCTGCTCGCGCTCCGTAGGGAATTGAACTCCCCTGCGAGCCAGGCCCCTTTTTCCTCCTCTTCCTCCTCCGCCGCCGCCCCTCTGCGCGGCCCAGACCCCCAGCGGGGGTGGGAAGAGCGACCACGTATCTTCGGCTCCGCATGCACTGTTTAGTTCGCATACTGGTTCACACGATGTAGTTCAACTTCACTCGCTTGCCGCCCTCCCACTCTCATGCCCTCGCTTTCTGCGGCGGCTCAGCCACCAGCGCAGCGTTCACTTCCCCGCATCTCTTCTCTAACGCAGGCCAGCCCCAACCCCGCCCCCCCTCTCCAAAGGCCGCCCTCCGCCGCGATCCTGCGGGCACTCTGTTTGAAGAGTGACAGCCTTTAGGTCGGGCATGTTCCCCTACAGGCCGAGCTTGGACGAAAAATACGAAATCCTCACAAAAATCAGAAATAGACAAGAATGGTTAAGAAATCGTCCCCTAACGATGTTTCTGCTATTTTTTAATTTTCCTCCTGCAGAGGGACAGGCCCGACTTAAGACAACCTGCGCAGCCCCCCGTTTGAGGGTAGGCAGGGCGGCCTTTATCCAGCGGGACAAGAGAAGGTAGCCTAACGGCCGCCACTCCTGTCAATCCTCCTCGGGCGGCACCGACTTTGAGCGCTCCGCGAAGGAAAACGTGCCTGTCTGCGGGGGGGGCACAATACCTTAGGTACGCCTGCAACCGCCTGGGGCCGTCCCAGCCAAGTGGGTCACGCGTGGTTTAGCACCGCACGGGTATCCAACTCCTAGTCGCTGGCTCACTGGTAGCCTGTTAGGGGGCGGGCCAGGACCAGGATATTCGTCTCGGTTGCCCGTCGTCGTTTTAGGCCGGGGTAATCAGGCTGGTGTTGGTCGTTAGGAAGGTGAGAAGGTGCAGGAAGCTTGAGTGGGGGAGGGGCGTGTCCACCCAGCACGTTTGGGTTGAAGCCTGACCCAGGCAGCGCCATCATGTGGCATATTTAGGGATGGAGCTTGCTCTGGGCACCCTCCCGCCTCCTCGCCCCCCCCCTCCTCCTCGTCACCTTCCCCAGTTCCCCCTGCGCTCAATCCCCGTGTTTCTATTGCATACGCTGCTGCTCACATCTTCCTCCCATGCGCCGAGGTTCCCATTGCATCGAAGAGGCTCTGCGGGCATGGCCCAGCGAAGACGAGAAGGAGGAGGAGGAGGAGGAGGAGGAGGAGGAGGAGGAGGAGAAGAGGAGGAGAGTAGTGAAACTAGCTCTTCGGTCGGGAAGGCCCTAGCAGCGGCCTCGGAGGCCCCGACGTCGGCCCCCGAAGCCCTTCCCCCGGGGGAATTGAGGTCACCCGAGCTATTCCAAGGGGGGAATAGGTTGTCGACCACGTCTCGCGGCAGTCCCGAGAGGCTCGCAGGTTCCTGGCACCGGCACCCGAAGCCTCGGGCCGGGACGGCAGCTGGAGAGGGAGCAGGGAGGAGGGAGGGGGGAGGGAGGGGGGGAGGGGGGGAGGGAGGGAGGGAGGGAGGGAGGGAGGGGAGGGAGGGAGGCCCTGGCGCCGTCCCGGGAGGC